GAGGTGCATGGTGACAACTCCCGAGCCTGCGTGGGGTCTGGCAGGATAAAAAGGCCGCCCAGGAAGAAGCCGGATAAAGCCCTGTACGTCCCCAAGGCGATGCGCAAGAAGGCAGAATGGGGCGAGCAGGAGAGCCCGGTGGTGGCTGGCAGCGAGTCGGGGGGGGGTATGGCACAAGAAGAAGAAATCTGCTCTAAAGCTTCAGTCGGGGACGCCCAGGAGGAACCGGGTGACCCTGAAAGCAGCCCCGGTGGTGTCTCCTTGGCCCTGGGCAAGCAGCAGGAGCCCGGCGAAGAGCGCGTTTCAGGAAAAAGTAACGATGATGCAAACGGTGAATGTCCTCCGTGCTGTACGGATGTCCCGTCGTTAGAGAACAGTAACGATTTCTCTGGACAGGAAAGCCAGGATAAAGACTGTTCGGATTCCCTTTCTTCTGCACACAATAAAAACCCAACTGAAGCGGAAGAGCAAGGTCAGAGCTGCGACAACGTTATTATACCAGAAGGCAGCAAAGTCCTGTGCCAGCTGCAAGCTGAAGGCCAAAGCAGCCGGGATGCCGGTGTAGCAGAGTGCGGCAAAAACTCCTCCCTATCGGAAAGTCACAGCAGTAACTGCTGTACGGACCCGGCTGCAGCAGAGTCGAGCGCAACATCACCGGCGCTGGAAAACCAAGATAAGAGCTGCGCCGCTGCCAAGAGCCCGGAGAGCGGCGGAAACGTGTCACCACCTGCAGAAGAGGGCAAGGACTTTGTGAGTGCCAGCGCTGGGGAGGGAGGCGAGAGTTTCTCCGAACTGGAAAGCCAAGGTCAGGAGAGCCCCGGCGTTGCCCAGGTGGAGCGTAACCAGAACCCCCCAGAAGCCCAAAATGAGCCTCTGGCCGCAGCGGAGCCGGCCCGTGGTGCCGACGCCTCAGCTCCTGGGGTCCAGAGCAGGTGCTGGGTGGGTGCTCCGCCGCAGAACCGCAGCGGGACGGTGCCCGCGGCAGAAGAGGAGGACAAGGAGCGTTCGGGCTTGGCCGACGCGCTGTGGCGTGAGCTGCGTTTGCCTGCGGGCGATAAAGAGGAGAGCGCGGCCGTCTGCGGGCAGAGCAGCCTGGAGGATGACTGTACCGCGGAGCTCTTCGCAGAGGTAGCGTTTTGCCGTGGGGATTGCCCTGGGGAGCGACTTTGGGGACACGAGGGTGGCTCGGGAGTCGGCCCCAGGGGAAGGCGTTAGTCCCGTGGGAGG